GAGTGGCCACTGCACTCCCGTCTGGGTGACAGAGTGAGACTCCAATTCAAAAAAAAAAAAGAATCTGCTTTTCCTATATTTCACTAGCAAACCTAGATATTCCTTCTCTAGCCCTCCACTGTACTTTGTACATGCGTCTAATATAGCTCTTTATCATATAAATTGTAATTGCTTGATTCTCCATCTCTCTCAACTCTAAACTCCTTGAGGGCTGGGAACTGTGCCTTTACGTGTTTCCTCAAGGTCTGGCTAATCCTTTCCACATAGTAGTTGCTCAGCTATTCTCTGAATCAGAACTAAAACTAAACTCACCATCTTTATCTAAAACTGTTTCTCCTTTTCTGTTCTCTTTGTTGGGAAATTGTGTCACTGCCTACTCAGTTGCTGCCCGTAGCATTTGGTCTCATTGGCTAATCCCTCTTTCTTAAAGTACACTCCTCTAGGTTTATAGAACCCTGTACTGTACTGGCTTTTCTCTTTTCTGGGACCGTTGTATTTCACTTTACAGGTGAGGTATCCTTAGGGCTTGGTCTCTATCCCTTTCTTCTCCTAATCCTTTATCCACCACATTCTCTCACTTAACAAAGCCAACAACCCTTCTTCCTTAGTGTCTTCTGAACTGAGTACCATTGCTTCAAAGTGCTATTATTTCTTGGCTAGATTGTTACAGTGACCTCACTTTCTCTATTTTTCTCATGTCTGTTTCAATGCCTGCCCCTTACCCTATCCTCCACACTATCTATAGCAGCTCTCTGAAAGGCACCTGCTTAAAATCCTCCCCTATCACATTCGGGAAAGAATCTAGAAGGCTTTCTATCCCTACTAGCTTCTCAGTCCCTTTCTACTGGATCCCCTTAACATTTTGTGATAATGTAATAACATATTTATAGTATTAGAGAACTTTTCTTATTTTCACTTCTTATAAGCAACATTAAGGTAAGCCCTTCATCTTTGTTTATCCTCTAACACTAACCAAGTTCCATAAAATCAGAAGGATCTGAAAAACTGAAGTGAAAAAACAGTCTAGTTGAAAAATAGAGGTCCTACAAATAGAATAATGGCTCTTAAATGATGCCAGGACATTCTTAAAGAAGCTATGGCACTTTGGATATGGTGGTTACTTAGAAGGGAAAAAAAATATGTTGGACAACATGAGAGCTAGAGAAATGGGCATCACCAGCCATTCCTGAAAGCTCTTTTGAAAAGACCTTGTATAAGAAAGAGAAAGCCCTTTCCCCAGTCAAGTTCACAGTTTCTTTCCAGTTGCAAAGCCTGTTGCTTTTGTATCATAACACATCCACATCGTGATAATGGCTGAGAAAATATGAACATGAGAAACAAAAGCTGTGGGCCAGACTTGTTATCCTTGCCCTTAATTGGAGAATTTTTTTTAAACCAAGAGTTATTCTGTTTTGAGGTCTCAATAAAGGAGACAGAATAGGAAAAATCAGAGCAGAAGAATTGGAGAGCGTGGGTTATGGAACCCAAGAAAGAACATGACTGTTATCATAAAAAATTGCATGTAAGTTAGAAAAAGAAAAATGAAAAAGCATTGATAGTACAAATAAAAAGTGATCAAACACTTGGTAATAACATTTCTATAGAAGAATAAAAGTAGAATCCTGATTCAAAGCAGTTGAATAAAAGATTGAAGAGGGGAGGTAGTACTTTCGGATAAGGGGGGAAAAAATGACCTCACTTAAGGTAGAATTGCTGTCACCTCATTTTCTTCTGTGTTTTCATGCTTTCCCATTAATATCTGTAAAACTTTAATTTCATCATTTAAAAAGATAGGTAACCTAGGTAATGTACTAAACATCACTGCTAAATTTACTGCTTTCAAAGGAAGTAAGTTCTCAAATTCATCACTCAGATTTTTTTAAATGGTAGTTACATATTAATGAAGTAGAATTTTATAGGTATTTATATAGCAATGAAACCATGGGCTTTTATAGTTCATACTGCTGCATATATCTGACATTGCCTCATTTTTTCCTTAGGTTCTACGCATTTTGGATCCAGTTACCTGTACAGAGAGCTCACCTGATAATCCATTTTTTGAGTCTTCACCAGCTACTTTACTTGCTACAAAGAAAAATATTGGACGATTTCATCCCTATACTAGATATGAAAATATAACTTTCAATTGCTGCAATCACTGCCAGGGAGAACTTATTGCCCTTTAATATTCAGTATGTTGGAGGAATGCTACAGGTACTTTTTTATTACCTAAGAGTCATTATTATTTGGGAGCTGGGGTTCTTTAATGCTAAAAGTAATATCACTTTGTATTTACATAATGTATATTCCCAAACATGTTTTATGTACTAGACTCCTGATTACCCTTTCAATAAATATCTCAGGATAAAAAAAGAATAAATTATATATATTTTAAATAGAGAATACTTTCCAAGCAATACATGATGCTTTTCCTAAAGGACTATAAGAGAAAAAGATTCTATAACTTTCTTTTAGGCCCTAACTTATTATTAATCTCACTGGTTATTTTACATAAACAGGTTTAATTTTGATGTGCTAAAGCAAGGGTTGCCGAACTATAACCATGGGTCAAATACGGATGGCCACACCCATTCATTTACTATTGTCTAAACTGTTTTTGCATTACAACCACAGAATTGAGTAGATGCAGCAGGGCTTATATGGCCTGCAAAGCCTAAAATACTCTCTAGTCGTTTACAGAAAAAATGTTCTGACTATTCTAAAGTAATAATAGTGGGGCTAGGGGCAGGAGGGCTTCTTTCCCTTGATAGTAACTGTTTGAGCTATAAAACAGGCTTATACACATACTATAGATAAAGAGACTAATCTTTTAAAAATAAATGCTATATATTAAGAAAATAAAAAATATTTTAGCACCAAATTAACAAGTACTCCACAAACATGTTGATTTTATGCAGATTTCCTATTCTGCATAGACACAATCTGACATATGTCAAAGAAACAGATTCTTAACTATTAACTCTTTTTTGACAAATACAGCACACAACAGGAATATCCAACTTGATATATATAAGATATGATGGAGAAGGTAGGGTCATTCTAGAACATTGTATAAACTCAAAAAATGCAACCCATCAATTAATATTTTTTATGTAAGTACATATTTATATTTATTATGAACCATCATAAACGCCCTTTTATTTGCCTTTAAGAATAGTCACAAAATATTTATATAAATTTATACAAATTAGTTGCAGAAGTGCCTATCAGTAGAAAAATCTTCAAAGGACAAATCTGGTTAAATTATAATATATTTTAATGTCAACATAATGATTTCTTTGGTCTGGGTCATCTGAGTTATATTTATAGTTTAAAGTAGCAATAAATTTCTCTACCTTCTTTATTGTGAATATTCCTTTCTTTCCCCCAGAATGGTATAATTTGTTTTGTCTTCATCCAACTTAAATATTTGTAATTGATTTTTCAGGCTTTTCCTTTAGGTTACTTAATATAAAACTCTTAGAAAGAAACATAGGGGAAAGCTTCATGACATTGGATTTGGCAGTGATTTCTTAGATATAACACCAGAAGTTCAGGCAGCAAAAGAAAAAAATACATACATTGAATTTCATCAACATTTAAAACTTGGGTACATCAAAGGAAGCAGTGAAAAGGCAACCCAGAGAACAGGAAAAAATATTTGCAAATCATGTAAATCTGATAATGATCTAGTGTCCAGAATATATAAAGCATTCCTATATCTCAGCAATCCAAAAAAAAACTATAAAAAATTAGCAAAGGACCTGAATTCACATTTCTCCAGAAAAGATATACAAATGGCCAATAAGTACATCAAAAGAAGTTCAACATAACTAATCATTAGGGAAATGCAAATCAGTATTACTTCACATCCATTAGGATACTTATTATCAAAAAAGCAAAATAACATGTTGGTGAAGATGCGGAGAAATTGGAACTCCTATGCATTGTTGGCAGGAATGTAAAATGCCGAAGACAGTGCAGCAGTTCCTCAAAAAATTAAACATACAATTACCATATGCTCTAGCAAGTCCACTTCTAGGTAGATACCTAAAAGAATTGAAAATGGGATCTGGAATAGATATTTTTATAACAGTGTTCATAGCAGTATTATTCACAATAGCCAGACACTAAATGTAGCTAAACAATAGTATATATATAATATTAGAAATATTATTCAGCCTTAAAAAGGAATGAGATTTTGATGCATGCTGCAATGTAAATGAACCTCTAAAACATTATGCTAGCCGGGCTCGGTGGCTCAGCCTGTAATCCTGCACCTTTGGGAGGCTGAGGCGAGTGGATTGCCTGAGCCCGCGGGTTTGAGACACGCTTAGGCAACTTGACAAGACCTCATCTCTACAATAAATCAAAAAATCAGCTGGGCGTGGTAGCGCATGCCTGTAATTCCGGCTACTTGGAAGGCTGAGGCGGAAGGATCGCCGGAGCCCAGCAGGTCGAGGCTGCAGTGGCCGGGAGCAGCCACTGCACTCCAGTCTGGGTGACAGAGTGAGACTCCAACTCAAAAAAAATAAAAAAATAAAAAAAAAAACATTATGCTAAACAAAATAAGTCAGACACAAAAGGACAAATGTCTAATTATTCCACTTATGTGAGTTACCTAGAATAGTCAAATTTGTAGGGATAGAAAGTAGAATAGAGATTACCAGGGACTTGGGGGAGAGTAGAATGCGGAGCTTTGGATTAATGGATAAAGAGCTCCAGATTGGGATGATAAAAAAGAAGTTCTGGAGATGCACAGTGATGATAGTTGTACATTTAAAGAATGGTTAGAAAGGCTGAGTGTGGTGACTCATGCTTAGAATCCCAGTACTTTGGGAGGTACTCCAGCCTGGCCTCAAAAAAAAAAAAAAAAAAGAATGATCAAAATGGTAAATTTTATGTATATTTTACCACAATACAAAAAAACTCTAAAAAAATTATATATACACTATTGTAACCACAAACAAGGGGCACACTTCTGCAACTGTTGGCATAACAGTGTTAATAACAATAATAAAGATAACAGTTAATGAGCTAAATTAAGGGGGAGAAAAGGAAAAAAATCTCAAATCAACAATCTTAACATCACATCTTAAGGAATTAGAAACAGAACAAACTAAACCCAATGCAGCAGAAGGAAGAAAATTAAGATTAGAGTGGAGATAAACAAATAGAGAATAGAAAAACAAGAATCAAAGAAGTCAGAAGTTGGTTCTTTGAAAAGATCCACAGAATTAACAAACCTGTACCACACTAAAAAAACACAGCTGAACTCAGAAATGAAAGTAGGGACATTGTTATCTACCTTACATACCTAAAGGAAAACTGTACACCAATAAACTAGATAAACTAGTTTATGGAAAAATTCCTAGAAAGACACATACTACCAAAACTGACTCAAGAAGAAACAAAATCTGAGCAGGCCTATCACAAGTAATCAGTTATCCAAAACCTCCTATCATCAAGAGCAAATCCTAATGTGAACCATGGACTTTTGGTAATAATGATGTGAAGGTTCATTGATTTTTAACAGATGTACCACTTTGGTGCAGGATGTTGATAGTGGGAGAAGTTGTGGGAGGGCAGCGGGTACATGGTAACTTTCTGCTCCATTTTGCTGTGAACCTAAAACTGCTCTAAAAAATAGTCTATTAAAAAACCAAAAACCTCCCATCAAAGAAAAGTCTAGGATCATATACTTTCACTAATGAATTCTACCAACTATTTAAAGTAGTAGTAACACCAATCCTTCTCAATCTCTCCAAAAAAAAAAAATAGAAGAGAGAACAGATAACACTTCCTCACTCATTCTATGAAGCTAGTATTACCCTAACAGACACCACAAGAATACTACAGGCAATATCTCTTGCAGAAGAAAAGAATTCTTCACAAAATGCTAGCAAACCAAATGTGGTCGCATATTGAAGGGATTATACACCGTGACCAAATGGGATGTCTCGGGATGCAAGGTAGTTCAAGGTAAGAAAATCACTCAATGTAATATACCACCTTAATAGAACAAAAGAGAAAAACCACATGAGCATCTCACTTGCCACAGAAAAATCAATGACAAAAATCCCAATACCCTTTCATAAAGGATGTTTATGAAAAACCCATAGCTAACACTATATTCGATTGTGAAAGAATAAAAACTTTCCACTTAAGATCAGGAATCAGACAGTGATACCCACTTCTACCACTGTTATTCAACATCATACTGGAAGTGTAGCCAGAGTAAATGACACAAAAAAGAAATAAAAGACATCCAATAAGAAAGCAGGAATTAAAGCCATATCTCATCACAGATGGCATGATCCTATATATAGAAAATTACAAAGAGTCCACAAAAAACCTGTTAGGGGGTAACTGCCTGAAGATGGCAACTGCATAGATGGATCCATGAGACTCTCCGAACGTGAGTTCCCAAAAAGACCCTTACTTTTCTTCCTGCACCCCCCTGCCCACCGCCAGCCGCACTGGTACGAGGCCTGGGGACCTTTGGTCCCACGCAGGGCCAGATATTGCGGCCTGACCGCAGCTGCTCCACTATGAGATTCTGGCCAGCTGGGGAATCCAGAATCCCGAATCGCAGCCCCCTCCCTGGCTGCATTGTCATGACCAGCACCCAGCACCAACCTGCTGGTCACCCAGGGAGGCTTTGGGCACCTGCCCCTCAGAGATACTGGTCCCATATCTGGCTGAAGTGCCCTGTGAGGGACCCAGAGCCACCACCTGCCCTCTGGAGCCTTGGATATCTGAAGCCCCGGGCCCACCCTGGCTGAGGCACTCAGCGTGCGACCGCAAGCCTGTGTAAGGGAGCAGATCCCCAAGCTGCTGTAAGGTGCCAGTCAGAGGCTTCCAGCTCCAGAGGAGAGAACGCCCTACCCTCTCCACCCCAGCCTGCTGGTGGCACTCCGGATCCAGCGCCCAGATGTGCAGCTGGTCCCATCTAGAGACCCACAGGAGCATCCCTAAAAGTGAAAGTAAAACTACCACCTCTGCCATTTTCAAGGCATATTTATATCGAATCGCCCCACCCACCTATCAGAGCCTCCACTTTGGTTCCCACTCTGATGTCATTAAACAGGAGACAAAGCCCCTCCCCTACACTGAATAGAGACCAGTGTCACAGATCTCCCAGGCAGCAGGCTAGCTGCCTGCAACCAAAACAGAGGGGAGAGGCTGGAGATTAAAGCTCAAGAGATTTTATCCACTAAGGGGCAAGAGAAAAATCTACACAAATGAAGAAAAACCAAAAGAAGAATATACGTCTCTCCCAGACTCCTGGGAGGGCAGACAGTGAGAAAACTGACTTCGGAATGCAAAAATGAGGAGTCCCCAGAATGAAGGGTCTCAAACTACAAACCTAGATATCAAGACATTAATGGAGAGATTAAAAAGAATTGAGGAGACACAAGAAGAAACTAGAAAGGAGTTGATATTAGAGATAACAATAATAAAGAATACTGTGAATGAAATAAATAACAAACTGATAAGCATGGAAAGCAGAATCAAGCAGAAAGAATCTCAGAGCTTGAGGACCAAAATATAAAACTAACCCAAACTCTCAAAAACACAGAAAACAAGCTCAAAAAGACAGAAAAAACCTTCAAGAGATGAGCAATTACTTCAAGAGACAGAACCTAAGACTAATTGGACTTCCTGAGGCAGAAAGAGAGACAGAGACCACACTGGAACAAACTTTCCATGAGATTATTTAAGAAAACTTCCCTTATCTAATCAGTGATGCAAAGATTCAAACACAAGAGATTCAGAGAACCCCTGCAAGACAATTAATGAGAAGATCAACTCCTAGACACATAATAATTCGCCTAAACAAAGTAGGCATAAAAGAAAAAAATCCTAAAGGCAGCAAGAGAAAAAGGCCAGATCACCTACCATGGAAAACCAATTAGAATAGCAGCAGATTTATCTACAGATACCCTGCAGGCTAGGAGAGCTTGGAGCCCTATCTTCAAAGTCCTAAAAGATAAACAATTTCAACCAAGAATAACCTACCCAGCCAGGTTAAGCTTCATCAGCAAGGGAGAATTAAAATATTTTCCAGATATCCAATCCCTAAGGAACTTACACTGCCACCAAACCACCTCTACATGAAACACTTAAGAAAGTACTAAACACAGAACAAAAGGGGGAAAAAAGAACAACGTTCTTCACAAGAGTACAGGAAAAAGAATAAAATACACATGAACCAACCCCAAAACCAAAAGAAAGACAAAAAACCAAGTGGAAGAACAACAACTCTATAAGAATTCTATGACAGGGATGAACTCTCAGATTTCAATAATTAGCCTGAATGTGAATGGACTAAATGCACCACAGAAAAGACATAGAATGACAAAATGGATAAAATATCACCACAATATACTGCCTTCAAGAGACCCATCTCACTAGAAAGGACATGCACAGATTCAAAGTAAGAAGATGGGAAACAAATTTTCAGGCAAATGGAACACAAAAGAAAGGAGGAGTCGCGATCCTAATTTCAGACAAAATACCATTTAAGCTATCAAAAATTTAAAAAGATACAGAGGGCCACTACATAATGATAAAAGGTTCACTCCATCAACAAGAAATATCTACCCTAAACATATATGCACCTAACATAGGTGCAC